TATATATAGAATATAAAAAAATGTAGAATAGGAAGAAAAAGAAAGAGGTGAAGTACTTTTAATCACAATGGTTTACTATAACTACATTTTCATAGAATCTTTTTTTTAATCAAGTTTTTATTGTTAAGGTTCTCAACGTGTATTAGAATGTAAATTATAATTTTTATTATTATAAATATATTTAAAATAAATATATTATAAATATAATTTATTATTATAAAAATATATTTAAAATAATATATAATAATAAATAATAATAATTATTATTATAAAAATGTATTTAAAATAATATATAATAATAAATAAAAATTTGTATTATTATAAATAAATTATAAATATAATTCGTATTAATTTATAAATATATTTATAAATATAATATTTATAATTTATAAATTTATATTATATTTAATTATAATTTATTATTATTATAAAAATATATTTACAAATAACATATAATAATATATAAAATAATATATAATAATAAATAAAAATATGTATTATTATAAATATATTACAAATATAATTTAGATTAATTTAATTAATAAATTATAATTAAATAAAATATAAATATATTTATATAAAAGTAAAATATTACGATTATAAGTGTGTATGTGTGTGTGTGTATGCATATAACCAAGTTAATCATAAAATGTTACGAATAATTATTATTTATTTTTTTTTTTTGCAAATACTTTATTAATTTAACAAAATGTAATATTTAATTTTTATTTGTTCTTTTTTACATCTTTTAAAGAATTATTCATTTTCTTTTATTGGAAAATCTAATCTTTCCATTCATTTTATCAATTCGTCATCAATGAACATGGGAAAAATATTCCGATTGTAATTTGATTTTTTGTTTGTTTTGTTCTTAATATCTCGATTGAGATTTCTTATCGTAGATTTGTTTTTCTTTTTCTTTGTTTTCTGCACTGATTTCTACATTTTTTTATTTCTTAACTATAATCTATCACAACATTGTTGTTCTTTAAAATTTCTATCAATCGTTTCTTAGAAAATGAATAGATTTCTGTATTGAATAATTCAATGTGTTAATTGTTATAAATGTTAATTAAATTTGTGGTAAAGATTACAAAACATTTGTAATTTATACTACGAGTAGATTTAACGTATAATGTTTTTCTATGGTGTCGTCAATAAGACTCGAATATGATTCAGTTAACAAGAAAACAAAATAAATTTCCTTTCAAACATCAACACACGAAATATTCCTAGAAATTTCATTTACGAATAAATGTCAAAATTGCAAAAGTTTAGTTAATAAAAATTACAGAAATTGGATAACAATTTATTTGAAAATAAAACACGAAACAATTTCGAGAACTTTTTAATGTTTCAGACGTTTACTCTTACGAAAGTTTAATGTTAAAAGTAATAATATTTTTGTATTTTTATGATTTAATGATGCCCGGTAAGTTTCAAGCCGGAAAACAAATAAAGATAAGAATTGTGTATCAACGTTTTCTCTTTATTGCCACGTCTTTCAAAGATTGTCCTCGATAATTGGTAAAAATTGGTAAAAAAAAAAAAAAAAATAAGGAAAAAAAATTGAAATTATTTCGAAATATCAGTAACATCGATAAAATACCAAAGTGTTTGTCATCACGATTCTGGTTTACCTATAATAATAATTCCCCAGAATTGAACATGAGTTTTTATTACGTGTCAACTAGCACGTACATTAATTCAATCCTAATACAAATATTGTATATAAAATATGAATATATATATATATATATTAGAATAAAAAAAAAACCTCTCTATAACTCTTGATAAATCTCATATGATTTAATTTTAAATCAAACTTATCTAATCTAAATGCAATAAAAAAAATTATCTTTTCATCGTATAACATTTTGGGAAAATAGGGTTGAATTGATAATTAAATGTGTTCTTAATTATGACAATGTACTAAATGAAAATTATTATGATAAATGAATTAAAAGATTAGTTTCATTATCACATTAAAATTATTAGAAATGAACCAGAAATTCATGAGTTTATTGTGTTGAAATTTTACTTTGAAATTGCATAATGAATTATTTTTATTTTTACTGTAAAATTTAGTTTTGGGGATATTAAGTAAAAAAACCTCTGTTGAAACTNTATTATAGTATATAATATATACTTATATAGAGTATACTTATTATACTAAAAGTATTGAGTTTTAAGCTATTACTATATATATATATTTTAATGCAACTAAACACCCACACACACAAGTAAACTTTTATATTATAAACTTTAAGTAATATTCTACAGATAATATTCTATAATAAATAAATAAATATTCTATAATAAATTTGGAAAAATATACAACACATAAATTCTAACTCAACTTAAAATAAATTTTAATATATAATAAATTGAAAAAAATATATTCATATGAGATAATTTTTGTTCCAATTGTTATTCCCCATCTAACAATTCTAATTTGTTCTCTCGATAAATCATTATTTTAATTAACTGTTCTTATTCTCACCAAGGATACTTCGTTAGTTATCATGGATAATTAATCGTAGCCGATTTGCCGGTTGATTTATTATACCATTTTATTCGTTCTGTCGATCAATCGAATATTATCCTCCCTATTTACTCCGTTACTAATGACGTTTAATAAATGGAAAAATTTCTATATATATAAAATATTAGATAAAATTATAAAAGCATTACTGAGACCCTTACTTATATCTCAACTCTCATGACTCATGGAAAATGAATTCGTTCAATTCGTTCTTTCTTGAAAGAATCTTTGGAGAATAATTTTACTATATTAAAACTGCATTCATGTTATATATATATTATATTTATTAAAACATTTGTGTGTGTGTGTGCATCGTTCTTAAATAAAACCCAATTGAATCTGAAATCAAATTTGTTCTAATTATATTTTTGGAAATTTTCTTTTTATTATTAATTCACGATTTAAGTTTTGATTCGTTAATACATTACATAAAGACACATGTTATTTATTAATTATTTTGTATTTTTTTTTTATTAATTTATTTTTTTTTATTATTAATTTAAGTATTGATTCGTTAATACATTGCATAAAGTCACACGTTATTTATTAAAACATTTGTGCATCGTTCTTGAATCAAATTTAATTGAATCTTCAATCAAACTACACATTTTTAAATTTTCTTTTTATTAATTAAATTATTAATTAATTTAATTACTTTTGAACTCTTGCCAACATGGTGGCAATTTGTATATTCCATTTTAAGAAATGGGATCTTACCCCCTAGTGACGAAAAATTGAATTAATGTTTAATTGAACGGACAGAATTGTTCTGGTAGACCTAATACATTACATAAAATCACATGTTATTTATTAAAACATTTGTGCATCGTTTTTGAATCAAATTAAATTGAATCTTCAATCAAATTTGTTTCTAATTATTTTGTTTTTTTTTGTATTTATTATTAATTTACGATTTAAATTTTGATTCGTTAATACATTACATAAAGACACATGTTATTTATTAATAATTTTGTATTCTTTTTTTAATTATTAATTAACGATTTAAGTGTTGATTTGTTAACGATTACATAAAGACACACATGTGATCCATTTGAAAAATAAAAAGAAAAAGAAAATGAAAGATTATTTTTTTGAATTAATAGGTCAGTATGTAACGACGTTTATAAACGATCTTAACGATATAACGATTTAACGATCTTAAACTATGTTACAAGAGTTCGTTTAAGAAGTCAACCCAAGTATATATTTACCTGCCATGCATACAACTACGCTCCTGTATTGTAAATGTTGTTTCGAGTTTTAAACTCACGTTCAAGAAAAAAAAAGAAAAAATGTCCAACTTGGTGAAGAGCATCGACACGCAAATAACTATTTACTCTTTTATCTTCTTGTCACTGTCACGCGATAAAACATTTTAATCCAAACACGTTCGAGCGAACGCATGAGAGAGTAAGGAGAATAATAAAAATAAAAAAATAAAAAAATAGAAGAAAAAGAAAAAAAACAAAACAAAACCACAAATTACGTGTTACGAGTTTTACTTACAAATGGTAGATAAGTTCTTTTTATTTTTGTTCATACATTTGAACACATATTTTTTTTTTATGAGTGATGAGATTATGTACACATATACATATATATGTATTAGGGTGAATTATATGTTCGTGTGTTTTTAATTAATACTTTATTTGCATATAAAGTATTTTTATTGATTTCAAAATATTGTACTACTTGAAACAACACAATAAAACCACGAACTTTTTAGATTAACCCTAATATATGTATATATATATATATAAAGAATATGAATTTTTATTTTATTATAAACAACGTAATAAGTATTTTTTTTTGTAAATTAATACACCTTCAAGAAAAAAAGGAAAAGTATCAAATAGGGAACGTAATTAATTGCAGAAATATAAAAATAAAAAATACTATGTGAAAAAATATGAGAAAAAATACTGTTTAAAAGACAATGGAAAACTGTAAAATATAAGACCGTATGAATGGAGCTTAAGGTTGTAATATGGAAGAGATCATGATCGCGAGTCACCAAGCGTATGTAACAAAAATAAACTCATTTAATGTACTCAACCCTCGGTTTAAATAAATTCTTCCTAAGTGCGTGTAAAAAAAAAAAAAAAAAAATAAAAAAAAAGAAGAGGATTTCATTTTCAACGATATGAGAATTTAGATTAGAAAGTTCTCGTTTCCAAGGACAATTTTTCTAATCATCGAAGAAGCATCCACCTCCTCTTCTTTTTTTCTTTTTATGAATCTGTAATAAAAGAAGATGAAATGTATAAAAAAAAAGAAAAATAATAGTCGAATGGTTCTGTATCGGTGGACCGATTTTTTTTCGTTGGAAGTTTTTGACAATGGAGGTGATAAATAGAAAAAAAAGGGGCTCATTTCGAGAACCGAAAGAAGTGAGGGAGAACACTCGCAAGGATCGTGAATGACTGGACTGTTAGAAAAAGGGTTCGAACCCTTTTTTTTTCTTCTTTTCTTCCCATTCGATTCGCATTCTTAAGTTCCATTTTTTTCGCAGCGTCAACCCCTTTTCTCAACAAAGGGCAACCATTGTGTTAAGAGCACCACTTTCAGAACTGACGATAAATGAACACATTTCATCGTAACACGCACGTCTACTAATTCACGTTTCTAATTTTTTTTTTTTCTTGTCTTCACAAAATACAAGCACATATTTGCAATATTTTCTTTTTTTTTTTGGAAAATGATAAACGAAACAAATTTACGATATTTTGTTACCAATATTTTAGATAAATACGTCCTTGTAGGAATATGTAAATATGACAGTCTTATCTTATTGGAACATATTTCTTTAAAACGATAATACGATTTATCTATCTGTAACGTTATTTTAATTAGGTTTGGTTCAATTGATAAATTATCTTTCATTTTTCTTCCAAAGGAAATTCTTCAGCATCTAAATAAGTAGTCTTAAAATATTGTCCTTGATTAATATTATCGAGATCTTGTGCTAATCTTTCCAAAAGATTTTTGAACACGTAATTGTCTAAATTTTTTGCTATGTAATACAAAAATAGCCAATCACCAAAATGATACTCTCGAGTAACTCTAACAACGTTCCATGGATTGTATTTGCCAGGACAAGCCATGGAAAAAAGTAATTTGTTAAAACCCTCGCTTCTGTAGAAAAACAAAACACAATAATTTAAATGAATAATTATTTTGTCAAAATTAAATAATTATACTGACCTAGAATGCAGTATCATAGTTATCAATCTCCAGATAAGTCCGAGTAATGTACAAAATGATAGAATGATGAACCAATACCATAAAAACGTATAAATCTTTTCGTTAATGATATTCAATGCCATAACACACAATGCATCATGAGTTTGTATCGTACCTGTGGGACCATATTTGTGGAATGTACACTTCGTTACCTGTTAATCAGTGAAAATATATAAAAATGAAAGTATCTTACTGAACAAAAAAAAAAAGAAGATAATGAAAGTACATAATATGATTCATACCTTAGGAAAAACAACATCAAGTGGTTCCATTTTTCCACCATAACTGGTATCAGCAGCTGTTTTACCAAGACCCAAAAATGCTCCTCCTAGGAACCAATCGGTCAAATAAATTTGCATTACGACATTAGCAAAATTTAATATCTCACAAGCACTTAAATAATATGACCAAGTTCGATTGACGTAAATTCGTTCAATAAATGAAGTTCGAATTTGTTGAAGTTTTTTATCGACATCATCTTTCGATGGGATCACATAATTATCGTTAACTTTCATATTACTTTCATTCAAACTCATACAAGCTACGTGCAAACCTGAGACCAAAGCTTTAAGACGACCACCTGAAATTAAAATAATTAATATATATATATATA